GGGGTAAATACTCACCGCGATATTTACATTAGAATATTTACATATATTTACATTACAATTCCGCAACAGTATGATTCATCAGTAAAGAATCATCAGGCGGTATGATGAGGAATTTTGAGGTAAGCGAAATTCTATATTTGCTCTATCTTTATGGTATTGAGCACTCTTTGCGTTTCGTATACATAAACCTACTCGTATATATATATATATATATATATATATATATATATAACTATTTACAGTGGTTACTTTCATCCTGCTCATCAGCACTACACTGATGAGGCCCAAAAGGCCGAAACGGTACCGTCTGTAGTTATATATATATATATATATATATATATATATATATATATATATATATATATATATATATATATATTGAAATGATAAGTTGAAATCCACTTTAGTCTATATAAATGGAAATCCACAAGTGAGACCACAACAACATTAAATTGAAAGTTCAATGGATTTTTAACACTTTGATAGGACACTTCAGGCGAACTAGCAGCTTAAGTGAACCTGAATAAACACCTGTTCGCAGGCTCGGTGTGAACTCGGCGATCGCGACAAGACTTATTCTGACATCGCATGATACAATTTACTATTTAAAGTTGAAGCCATATTAAAACATGATATGCGAATTAGTAAGAAAGCATAATGTTAATTAGTCATGTCTATGATTTCTGGTCAGTGCAGGATAGAACTTGAATATGGTATACTAAACTAATAACCTCTGAACATATCTATTTTCTAGTTATGGTTGATATTGGCAGAAAGTAAACTTGGTCATTTAGACTGGAAGAAAACATGTCAGTTTTGTTTTAATGAACGAAGTAACCCGGATGACGACAATCTCGGTGCTCAGATTGTCAAGGTTAGTTGCATTGACTACTGATGTGCGACAGGTAATGGGGTAACTTGTCCAGGCGCTAATTACAATCACAGCTTTAGCCTTTTTTTCGGCCTCCATGCATTAAGCAATGGAGTAACAGCAATATTCATAAACAATTTTTTCTGATATGCAGTACACAGTCATTTCTGATATGCAGTACACAGTTCCATAAACTATGCTGGCTTTAAACACTGATATGCACATGCAGTCATTCCCACCACAGATATAACACTTAGTCTTTGAGTTTGATTACTTACAATATTTATTACGTTTTTTTCGAGAACAAACCGTTTATCTCTAGTGTAACATAGTTAGATTCTAAATATGTATATTAACACTATATATATATATTGATCTCTAAACAGACCTAGGCAGCTTGTGGGCACTTTTTTTGTTCTTACCACATAGCCTACTGACGTCATACTGTGTATCTATAACTGAACGGACAACGGGAAAATGTAATCTATTTGTTATATATATATATATATATATATATATATATATATATATATATATATATATATATATATATATATATATATATATATATATATATATATATATATATATATATATATATATATATATATATATATATATATAACTTGTTTTGTTGTAGTAGATAATAAAGTGCTCAACACTAGTATTATAGTAGAGCAAGATATATTTATATCTTAAAATTAATTATTGCTACTCAAGTTTCACGCCTTATTCAAGACGATCTTTAGGCAATTAATTCAGTTAGTGTTTGATTCGTCAATATCAACGGTCGCTCGCTGACGCGGAGGTTTGTCTATCGTCACCGGTTTGAATTTGCACGCGCTAAATTTTTCCTTGTGACAACACTTTGCATAAAACTCTGATCGCGTGTTCAGTGAATTGTTTCCTTTCGCTTTCAGGATACATAATTTCTCTTCCAAGCAGAGGCCACATCGCTTTCCACCAGGCGTGTACGCAGCAGCTCGTTTCAAGATGGACCACTTGATGCTGTAATTTCTTCTACTTTGCTTCAGACTCCAAACGTACTTCGAAAGCTTTGTGTCAGACGAGTGGTTGTAGAGGTTGAATGACGTTTTGTGGTTGGCGTATCTTTCTTTGAATGGGTTGGCCGTCATTCCAATATACTCTTTTGTATTTCCGTCATCAGTTGTTGTCACCGTGGCTTTATAGACAATGTTGTCTATATTGTCTATAAAGCCACGGT